ACAAAATACAACGTGGTTTTACAAAAGGTAGATCATGCCAAACCAACCTGATCTCCTTCTTTGAAAAGTTAACAGATTTTTTTAGACAAAGGAAACACAGTGGATCTAATTTACCTCGATTTCAATAAGGTATTTGATACGGTTCCACATGGGGAATTATTAGCTAAATTGGAAAAGATGGAGATCAATATGAAAACTGAAAGGTGGATAAAGAACTGGTTAAAGGGGAGGCTATAACGGGTCATACTGAAAGGTGAACTGTCAGGCTGGAAGGAGGTTACTAGTGGAGTTCCTCAGGGATCGGTTTTGGGACCAATCTTATTTAATCTTTTTATTACTGACCTTGGCACAAAAAGTGAGAATGTGCTAATAAAGTTTGTGGATGACACAAAGCTGGGAGGTATTGCCAATATAGAGAGGGACCGGGATATCCTACAGGAAGATCTGGATGACCTTGTAAACTGGAGTAATAGTAATAGGATGAAATGTAATAGTGAAAAGTGCAAGGTCATGCATTTAGGGATTAATAACAAGAATTTTTGTTATAAATTGGGGACGCATCACTTGGAAGTAACAGAGGAGGAGAAGGACCTCGGAGTGTTGGTTGATCACAGGATGACTATGAGCCGCCAATGTGATATGGCTGTGAAAAAAGCTAATACGGTTTTGGGATGCATCAGGCAAGGTATTTCCAGTAGTGATAAGGAGGTTTTATTCCCTTTATACAAGGCACTGGTGAGACCTCATCTGGAATACTGTGTGCAGTTCTGGTCTCCCATGTTTAAGAAGGATGAATTCAAACTAGAACAGGTACAGAGAAGGGCTACTAGGATGATCCGAGGAATGGAAAACCTGTCTTATGAAAGGAGACTCAAAGAGCTTGGCTTGTTTAGCCTAACCAAAAGAAGGCTGAGGGGAGATATGATTGCTCTCTATAAATATATCAGAGGGATATATACCAGGGAGGGAGAGGACACAAAAACAAATGGATATAAACTGGCCATCAGGAAGTTTAGACTTGAAATTAGATGAAGGTTTCTAACCATCAGAGGAGTGAAATTCTGGAACAGCCTTCCAAGGGGAGTAGTGGAGGCAAAAGACATATCTGGCTTCAAGACTAAGCTTGATAAGTTTATGGAAGGGATGGTATGATGGGATAGCCTAATTCCGGCAATTAATTGATCTTTGACTATTAGCGGTAAATATGCCCAATGGTCTGTGATGGGATGTTAGATGGGGTGGGATCTGAGTTACTACAGAGAATTCTTTCCTGGGTGTCTGGCTGGTGAGTCTTGCCCACATTCTCAGGGTTTAGCTGATCGCCATATTTGGGGTCAGGAAGGAATTTTCCTCCAGGGCAGATTGTCAGAGGCCCTGGGGTTTTTTCGCCTTCCTCTGCAGCGTGGGGCACGGGTCACTTGCTGGAGGATTCTCTGCACCTTGAAGTCTTTAAACCACAAGTTGAGGACTTCAATAGCTCAAACATAGGTCCCTGAGCTCCCCCACAGACCTGAGAGGGGGCTGCCCAAGGCTGCAGTAGGACGGGGTGGACAAGTATCCCAGAGAGTGCAGAGAGGAGCAGCCTCTGCTGCAGGGTCGGTGAAATTGAGCCAGGGAGTGGCTGGGCCCAGGGAGCTGAAAGAGGAGATCAGGGCCTAGAACTGGTGCAGATCTTGCAGCCCAGGCTACGCCCTGAGTGTGAAGGGACCGTCGCAGCTTGGGGCGGGTGTATCTGGCGGTTCAGAGCTGGGGTTGGAGGAATGGCTGGAGTTAGGGATCATGAGTCTGCTTGGGTTTGGAGTGCATGTTTGGAGCTGTGTCTTTGGGATGTACCATATGTGGGGTACAGAACTGGGTATTTGGGGACCAACAGTTGGGTGCCTGCTATTTCTATCCGAGTTCTTGCCAAATCCTTCACCGTGCTAAAAGTACACTTCCCTGGAGTAGAATCATTTAGCAAACCACCCAAAATCTCAGCGGTGCTAGTCAGGAATAGCTTCTGCAAACATGGCCAGTTTATTCCTTTAAACTGGTGGCACAGGTGTCAGTTAGGAGCTAGACATAAGCTTAGGTCACAATCTCTGTTAACTACCTGAGATGGGGTTTCTAAGCAAAAATAGTTATTTATTTTCCTGCAGCTATCTCAGCTTCAACGCTGATTATATTTCACACACATTTGCAGTTCCTGCTGAGGGGTGACGTCAACAAAAACCCACTTTTACAACTCTACCCCGACATAACGCTGTCTTCGGGAGCCAAAAATCTTACCGCGTTATAGGTGAAACCGCGTTATATCGAACTTGCTTTGATCCGCCGGAGTGCACAGCCCCGCCCCCCCAGAGCGCTGCTTTACCGCGTTATATCCGAATTCATGTTATATCGGGGTAGAGGTGTATTTCCTCCACATCGCCATAGTTAGGGACAGCATTTCCCAAACCACAGGCTTAGCTAGGAGATGACGTCAGGAGTAACCTCCTGTGGAGCTGAGACATACCAGGGTACAATCCAGACGAATGAGCAGCTGTATTACCCCTGCCCTGAAATCCTGGGTGCCTTACAATGCCTTGCTGAAGTAGTTCCCACCTGGGCCACTCACAAACAGCCTTCCAGCATGCAAGACACACCCTGAGTGTGTGTGTGTGTAACTGCAGCCTGCCAGCCACACTTGGGTTACACTCTGTCTCTTCCCAGCCTTGGTTATACTACACGGTGACCCCCCAATACACCCCCAGTCCCAGATTTCCCCAGAAATGTATCTCCTGGACAGTACACAATATTTGAAGTCCAATAAACCTTTAAGAGAATAATATGTAAGATTATTTCAATTAGTTATTCAGAAACATCAGTTTAAACACACCGACTTATATAGTTATATATAGTTTATCAACTACAAAGAGAGATTTTATATGCGTACAGGTAATGAGGCATAACCATCATAATTGGCTACAAGAAAAATAAAGATAAAACGCTTACTAACACATACTTAAGAAATTATCTTCGTTTCAAAGCAAATTTTTCTAAACACATGCTTCAGTCATCTTACTGACCAAACGCCTTAGGGCAGGACCCCTCCATCAAAGTTAAACAGTTGTGTCATTGTGTCTTCTCAGGTGTGGAGAATGCAATAGGCAGGAAGAGATGTGTTTTGTGGGTGTCTGCCCCTTCTGTCCCTAGGGGGAACCTGGTGACTAACAGTTGCTTTGCAGTGTGAAGAAAAGCTTAAATGTGATGCCCCAAATTCATTTGGACTATAGAACAGTGATGAGGTCATGTCAAGTCTTGAGGAAATCTGCTAAATTAACCTGCCCACTAAATATGGGCTATTTTCTTTCATTTTAAAAATAGTTATAGTTTTACATCAGGATAGCTAATACAAGTTAGCTAACTCCATGGAAAATCCTAGTGGAATCAAGACCCAGATAGATTTAACATCCGTGTACCAAGCTGCATTCACTCCTGGTTCCCCCACCCGGAGTTGATTGACATTCCTGTTGGAGGGACGCACACTTCCATGACATAGGACAAAGAAGTTGATAAAAAAGACTGTGTTATTCACTCCAAGTGAGGCTGAGATGCACAAGGGAAAAGCACACAACTCAGCTGGCGGAAGTGAAAGAAAATGGTGACACAAATGCTGCCTTAAAGCTCACTATGTGGGCATCAGCAAAAGGGAAACAAAATCTTTTCTCAGCCCTACACAAAGTTTTGGTGTTTATCTCCTCTTGCAGCTTCCTTAGTGATAAATAAGGGCTGCTCCTGGAGGAAGTCTGTGCCACTGAGCGTACGCAGAATTCATGTCCCCTGCAGATTTCTTTCCTTCCCTGCAGAAAAATGACTTTCTGACAGGGAAGCTGCAAGAGCAGTTACGCACCACCCCGTAGCTGCACAGGTACATCATTTCATGCACCCGGAGCAGCTGTTGGAGAGGTAAATCACCACAGGGCTGGGGATACCCCAACCAATGGCTCCTACCCTGAGCTGGGATCAGCTGCTAGTCCCGGCTGGGCTGGAGGCAGGAGAGGATGGGACTTCCTCTTCCCCTGCAAGGAGTGGCTGGGACTGTGTCAGACCCACCCCCAGAAACTGCAGGAAACTCAGCATCCTCCTCCATCACTCCTCAGCTGCGGGGGGAGGAGTCACTGTACATCCAACTTACATGCATCTGGACCTCCCATACCCAGACACCCCCGCCAAGCCTCACCCCTGTACACCCAGAACCCCCCTAGCCCTCCATAACCAAACCCCATCCAACTGAAGCTCAACCCCTGAATCGGGAGCCCCCCAGTCTCCAGACCCCAAGCCCTGCACCCAGACCACCCCCCACTGAGCTCCCTGCACTCAAACCCCCACCCTTCTGCACCACCCTGAGTCCCCACATCCACACCCCCATGCCACTGACCCCCAACTAACTGCACCCAGACCCCCAAGCCCCACTCCCCCAGCATCCAGACCCCCCTGCTGAGACCCCCACACCCAGACCCCTCCGCTGAGCCCCAACCACTTTCATCTGGAAGCACTTGCAGAGTCCCATTACCCCTGCACATGGAATCCCAACAAGTCACTGTGCATCCAGATCCCCTCCACATCTACACCCTACACTGAGCTGCCTGCACCCAGATTGTCCCACGCACAATCCTCTCACCCCACACCTGGATTCCTCCACACTGAGCCCCTTCACACTTGGTTCCTGCCTGGTTGAGCCTGCCTGCCCCACACCGGATGCTCCTGGCACAGAGGGGCAGGGCCCCAGAGTGTTTCTGGGGCAGGCCTTGTGCTGTGTCAGGGTTGGGTGCAGCCTCACCACTGATTCCGTGTCCCAGGGGTGGAGGGTGGGGAGGCTGCAGGGTGATCTCCCACCTGCATAAAGCCAGTGGCCTGTGCTCCCCACTGCCAGGCTGGAGCCTCTGCATTTATTTATTTCTGCAGAATTTTAAAATATTGTGCATATAATTTTTAATTTTTGGCACAGAATTTTTAATTTTTTGGTGCAGAATGCCCGCGGGAGTAATAAGGGCTGAGCTCTGATGGAAGAATTCCCCACATTCGAAACATTAATAGAGTTCCTCCCTGGTGTGGATCCTCTGATGTTTATTAAGGTGTGAGCGCCGAACGAATGTTTTCTTGCACTCCCAGCATTCATAGGGTTTCTCCCCTGTGTGGATTCTCTGATGTTTAATCAGGGATGAGTCTTGAGTGAAGGTTTTCCCGCACTCACAGCATTCATAGGGTTTCTCCCCTGTGTGAATTCTGTGGTGCCTAATAAGGTGTGAGCTCCGAGTGAAGGTTTTCCCGCACTGACAGCACTCGTAGGGTTTCTCCCCTGTGTGGATTCTCTGATGCCTATTAAGATGTGAGCTCCGCGCAAACGTTTTCCCACACTCACAGCATTTATAGGGTTTCTCCCCTGTGTGGATCCTCTGATGCTGAATAAGGGATGAGCACTCAGTGAATGTTTTCCCGCACTCACAGCATTCATAGGGTTTCTCCTGTGTGTGGATTCTGTGATGCCTAATAAGGTGTGAGCTCCGAGCAAAGGTCTTCCCACACTTACAGCATTCATAGGGTTTCTCCCCTGTGTGGATCCTCTGATGTTGAATAAGCGTTGAGCGCTCAGTGAAGGTTTGCCCACACTCGCAGCATTCGTAGGGTTTCTCCCCTGTGTGGATCCTTTGATGTTTAATAAGGGTTGAGCGCTCAGTGAAGGTTTTCCCACACTCACAGCATTCATAGGGTTTTTCCCCTGTGTGGATTCTCTGATGGCTAAGAAGCAGTGCAGGCCTACTGAACTTTTTTCCACACTCAACACATGTGTTATTTCTCTCTCCCATGGGGATTCTCTGCTGGGTCGTGGTTTCCTTGAGGCCTTTGTGAGTTCCCCAACAATTAACAGATTTACCAACTTTCTGTGTTGGCTGGTTTCCCTGCCACTTCTCTGGCCTGTGCTGACTCTCACAGGCTTTTCCCTGCTCACAATTCCTAGACATACTCCCTTTGCATCTTTGCAATAATGTCCCAGGTGGTTTGACTTGCTCATCATCTTCCTGCTGAGGCTTCTGCTCCAAGGTCTCACTCACCATCCCATCACCTGCTGGGACAGAGAGAAAAAAATCAGAAATAGGAATGCAAAAGGGGAGAACAAATGAAAAGAACAGCTGGAGATGGAAAAAAAAATGAGGGACTGAATTTCCCCAAACTCGTCGCCAAAGGGAAGAGAGGAGGGGATCAATTCTACATCCAGTCCCATTTAAACACTCAGGGAGAAGGAAGTTCAGGGAGGAAGCTAGTGACAGGAGATAGTCAGGATGGGTAGGAAGCCATGAGCAATATCTGCCCTGAGGATATGACACTTGCTGCGGACAAGCCTGAACCAAGAGAGCTCGCAAGGTCTTTGTTGGGAATCCCAGCTGCTGCCTTCTGGCACTGAGTTCATTTAATGATTACTCACCTGTGTAGATGCCTCTTGGGAGCTCTAAGCCCTGGAGATCTGGGGAGAACAGCTCTTCCCCTCTTTCCAGCTGGGAGATATCAGGTTTGGAAACTGGAAACCCTGCCCAGGGGAAAGAAGACAAGTGAGATCAGGTGAATTAATGCGACATTCGTCACACACAAAAGAAGTTCTGTTATTTTAAACCCTTCTCGTTTTAAAGCAGTAAAATCCTGGGGCCAGCTCCCCAGGTGCTCAAAGGTGCAGGAAACTCTTCTTATGAGGGATTTAACTCTGCCCATGTTTACTGGGAACACACACAGCCAGACACTCACAATCAAAGGGGCTCCTAAAACCCAGAGCAGCTAACTGCATGTCCCAGAAAGAGAAGACTCAAGCCGGAGAGGAAATCTTCCTGGAACTGCTTCTTACTGACAGAGAGAGGCCCAGACACACTGCAGGAGTGGGAAAGGCACGAGGCCTGACAGCTATGTGGGGGGGACACTCAGAGAGACAAGGAAGGGCACAGAGATGCAATTACCCCTGTCAATCACAGTGATCTTCAAACCCTTCCTCTAACTGCTCTCACCCTTCCCCACCTCCTGGGACCCATAGGCGCCGACTCCATGGGTGCTCCAGGGCTGGAGCACCCCTGGGGAAAAATTAGCAGGTGCTCCGCACCCACTGGCAGCCAAGCTCCCCCGTCCTCACCTCCTTCTCCCGCCCTGCCGAGCACACCGCTTCCCCGCTCCCTCCTCTCCCTCCCAGCGCTTCCCGCCCTCCCCCCCGCCACCTAATAGCTGTTTGGCGGCGCTTAGGACTTTCCGGGAGGAATGGGGATGTGGCACGCTCAGGGGAGGAGGCGGAGAAGAGGTGGGGCAGGGGGCAGGGATTTGGGGGAGAGGGTGGAATGGGGGCGGGAAGGAGGCGGGAACTTTGGGGAAGGGGTGGAGTGGGGGCAGGGTGAGTGCAGTGCAGGGGCGGGAAGAGGCGGGGTCGAGCACCCACCGGGTAGAGCAGAATTTGGAGCCTATGCTGGGACCCCAGGAGCAATCATTCCTTGTGTTCTCTCCTCCCCTCCTATGGCCCATAGCCCTCCTCACTACCAGTTTCCCAAATTTTCTGCTCCCCAGCCATTTCCACCCTATTATCCCACTGTCTCAATGGTTTCTTTGTCCTGATTCCCAACAGCTCCTGCCAAAACTGTGTCCCTTTGCTCGTCCCATTGCTAGCACGCCTATTTCCTGAAGCATCCACTACAGAACCCATGCTCCCTTTTCTCTAACCAACACCAACCCTTCCAGATCCTTGAGCTAGAATCATAGAAGAATAGGGTTAGAAGAGACCTCAGGAGAGCATCTAGTCCAATTCCCTGCTCAAAGCAGGACCAACACCAACTAAGTCATCCCAGCCAGGGCTTTATCAAGCCGGGCCTTAAAAACCTCTAAGGAAGGAGATTCCACTACCTCCCTAGGTAACCCATTCCAGTGCTTCACCACCCTCCTAGTGAAAAAGTTTTTCCTAATATCCAAACTAGACCCCCCCCCACTGCAACCTGAGACCATTGCTCCTTGTTCTGTCATCTGCCACCATTGAGAACAGCCGAGCTCCATCCCCTTTGGAACCCCCCTTCAGGTAGTTGAAGGCTGCTATCAAATCCCCCCTCACTCTTCAATTCTCCAGACTAAACAAGTCCAGTTCCCTCAGCCTTTCCTCATAAATCATGTGCCCCAGCCCCCTAATAATTTCCGTTGCCTTCCACTGGACTCTCTCCAATTTGTCCACATACTTTCTGTAGTGGGGGGCCCAAACCTAGATGCAATACTCCAGATGTGGCCTCACCAATGCCGAACAGAGGGGAATAACCATTGCCCATGCATCTGTGAGTCACCACTTCCCTCGATCTCCTGGCAATTCTCCTACTAATGCAGCCCAATATGCCATTAGCCTTCTTGGCAACAAGGGCACATGTTGACTCATATCCAGTTTCTTGTCCGCTTGTAATCCCCAGGTCCTTTTCTGCAGAACTGACGCTTAGCCAGTCAGTCTCCAGCCTTTCCCTTCCCACCCCCACCAGACCCTGCTGCTTCCTAGACCAACCACTCTCCAACCCCGTCACTCCCCTTGTTCCTCTGACCCCAGTGTTCCCCTCCCCCAGCTAACTCACATCACCTACCCAACTCTCCCTCAACACGACCACTGCTGGGCCCTCCACTCCACCTTTATGTTTCCCCATGTTTCCAGTTCATTTATGAATATGTTGAACAGTGGGCACAGTACAGATCCCTGGTGGACCCCACTATTTACCTCTCTCTACTGTGAAAACTGAGCATTTATTCCTACCCTTTGTTTCCCATGTTTTAACCAGTTACCGATCCATGAGAGGACCTTCCCTCTTATGCCATGACTGCCTACTTTGCTTAAGAGACTTTGGTGACGTTTTCTGAAATTCCAAGCACACTGCATCACCCTTGGCCAGGGCCGGCACCAGCAAACCAAGCAGGTGCTTGGGGCAGCACATTTTCAGGGGCGGCATTCCAGCCAGCCTCTTTTTTTTTTTTTTTCCCCGCGCTTGGATGGCAAAAGCCAAAAGAGCCGGCCCTGGCAGCAGCAGCACGTCCTGCACCGGGGGCGCCCTGGGGCCACTGCGGTTCGCGTCGGGGAGCAGCGCCCGCACCTTATGGCCGGGCGGGCTCCGAGCGCGGGAGAGTCGGGCTGGGGGCTGCCCCTCGGAGCCGCTTGCAGGTGCCGCAGGGCGGCCGCCCCCCAGCGCTGCAGCCGGGGCTGGGCGAAGTGGCCAGAGCCGCCCAGGGACTGCGGCAGGGCGGCCAGGAGCAGCAGCAGGAGCGGGGCCATAGAGGGCGAGGCGCTGCCCTGCGGGGCCCGCATCCTGCTCTCTGGGGCTCCGCTCCCTCTGGGGCTGCCCTGCCCCGGCTCCTCAGCCCCCTGCCGAGGCAGTCCCCCGGCTCTGTCCTCCCCGGTCCCGGCCAGTCCTGGAGGCAGGAGCCCCGGCTTGAGGGATCCTGGGCTGAGGCGTGGCCCAGGAGCCCTGCTGCTTACCCCAACGCTGCCAGAGTTGGGGCGGCAGGGGGTGCGGGTGGGGGGGGGGGAGAGCCCAGGGCTGGGGTGAGGGGCAGCCAAAAATGTTTTGCTTGGGGCGGCAAAAAACCTAGAGCCGGCCCTGCCCTTGACCACGTTTGTTGACCGCCTCAAAGAATTTTAATAGATTGGTCAGGCTTGATTTGACTTTACAAAATCCTTGTTGATTCTTCCCCAACAAATCATGTTCATCTATGTGTCTGATAATTCTCTTATTTACTATAGTTTTCAACCAGTTTGCCCTGTATTGAAATTAATCTTACCAGCCTCTGATTGCCACGATCACCTCTGGAGCCTTTTAAAAATATTAGTATTACATTAGCTATCACCCATCATTTGTTAAAAAGGCCAATTTAAATGGCAGGTTACATACTGTAGTCAGTAGTTCTGCACTTTTCATGTATGAGTTCCTTCAGTACTATTGGGTGAATACCATCTAGTGCTGGTGACTTATTAATGTTTAAATTATCAATTTGTTCTAAAACCTCCTCTATCAACACCTCAATCTGGGACAGTTCCTGATTCGTCACCTAAAAAGAATGGCTCGGGTGGAGGAAAGTCCCTCACATCCTCTGCAGTGAAGACTGATATAAAGGATTAATTTAGTTATTCTGTAATGGTCTTGGCTTCCTTGAGTGCTTGTTTAGCACGTCAATCACCCAGTGGTCCCACTGATTCTTTGGCAAGGCTTCCTGCTTCTGATGTACTTCAAAAAAAATTGTTGTTAGTTTCAGTGAGTTTTGTTAGTTGCTCTTCACATTCTTTTTTTGGCCTGCCTAATTATACTTTGACACTTGACCTGCCAGAGTTTATGCTCCTTTCTATTTTCCTCAGTAGCGTTTGACTTCCAATTTTTAAAAGATGGCTTTTTGCCTCTAACTGCCTTAGCTGTGGTTGTACTTTCTAGTCCTCTTACAGTTTCCCCCCACCCCCATTTGGGGTACACATTTATTTTGAGCCTGTAATATGGCGTTTTTAAACAGTTTTCATGCAGCTTGCAGGCATTTCACTTTTGTGAGTGTTCCTTTCAATTGCCATTTAATTAGCTCTTAATTTTGTGTAGTTCCCCTTTCTGTAGTTAAATGCTACTGCAGTGGGCTTCTTTGGTATTTTCCCCCTTGCAAGGATGTTAAATTTAATGATATTATGGTCTTTATTACCAAATAGTTCAACTGCATTAACCTCTTGGACCAGATCCTGTGTGCCACTTAGGACAAAATCAAGAACTGCCTCTCCC